GTATAGCTTTGTGCCTTTCCTGGATCTCGCTCTGTAGACCAGGCTGGCCTGGAACTCACAGAGATCCGCCTGCCTCTGCCTCCCGAGTGCTGGGATTAAAGGCGTGTGCCACCACTGCCCCGCCCGTATATATTGGTTTTTAACATTTGGTTCCACACAACCCCAGACCTCCTTATCTTCTCGGGTGCACGTCCGACAGCTAGGGTGAGAGACTAGGGACTTGGGGTGTAGACCAGTTGCTTAGCATACAGGAAGCCCAGAGCTCCATGTCTGGCAGGCGCCTCATAAACCTGATACTGTGACAGTCTTCTGTAACCCAAGGTGGAGGCAGAAAGATGGAGGTTCAAGGCCGTCCTCAACCATATAGGGATTTTTGAGGCCGAAAGCACAAATTAGAGAATATGAATTACTTCCTTCTGAAGACAACCTCTCGGCCTTGACCACAGAGCCTCAGTAGATTTCAAACTCAACCACTGAGACCTCACTGTAGGCAAATGGTAGAGTGCTTGCCTAGCATGCGTAAGGTATGTGTTTGCGTTTGATTCTCAGTGATACAAAACAAGCGCGCGCGCACAAAGCACCCCCTAGGGTGCTGGAGATATGGCTTAATAGGTTAATAGCCTTGAGGATCCAGGTTTTAATCCCAGTTCCCACGTGGAGGCTCACAATCGTCTGTAACTCCAGTTCTATGAGATTCGACAACGTCTTCTTATCTCCTTTGGTACTAGGCCCGCACGTGGTGCATAGAGATAGGTGCAGGGAAAGAACAGATTAATTAATATATATATAATTTAATATAAATATATATTTAAAGCAAAGGCCCAAGTCATAAACTTGGGTGAGTGCTGAAGAGGCGCGTGATTAGTACGCGCCACAAGAGGGCGCTAGCCGCACATCGAGCATCCAATAAACGTTTACCAGGTCTCCGAGCTGGGTTCTTAGCCTTCCCAGGCTGCAATCAGCGCTGCCGGTCAGGCCTTTCTCTTTCTTCTGTCTTTGAGACAGGGTCTCACGTGGCCCTGGGTGGTCTTGGACTTGATGGCCTTGAGCTCCTGATCGTGCTGGCACATCCAGTTTTCTGTGGTGCTGTGCCATCAAACCCAGGACTTCTTATAGCAAGCACTATACCCCCTGAACCACGTCCCCAGCTCCCTCACCTGCATTCATTCCCCACTCCGGAGAGGCCAATGCAGGGGATGTGGGACCATCCGGGATAGCAAGCGACAGCTGGATGACCTAAGATGACCCAGAATCTATTTCCCCTGCTCACATTAGGTACTTCAGAGTCCAGAACCTTCTGGTGACAATAACAAGAACATGCCTTGAAACGCTCCCTCCACTTTGGAGAATAGCTCGGTCTGTCCATGGAGTGGCTTGAATGTTGACCCCTCTCCCCCCAAAACACCCCAAGACCACGCAGAAGGTGTGGATGTGACGTTATTTGGAAAAGGGGGCTTTGTGGATAAAAGGACTTCTAGTGTCTGCAGAAGAGACGGGTGGGGTGGGGTGGGGGGGGTGCTCGGAAGAGAGGCCTGTGTGAGGATGGAGGCAGAAGTCAGAGCGATGTAGCCAGTGGCCACCAGAAACTGGAAGAGGTCTAGAAAGACCCTTCTAGAACATTCTACAGGGCTGTCCTGGGTCACCATGACTTTCAGACATATGGATTCTGGAAGAGTTGAGATTGTAACTTTTCAATCTCATAAGCCACAAACCTCAACTAACACAGTCCACTTATTTATTTAATTGGTTAATTTTTAAAATGACATTTTGTTGTTGTTTTCGAGACAGTGTTTCTTTGCGTAACCCTGGCTCTTCCAGAACTTGCTCTGTAGACCAAACTGGCCTCAAATTCACAGAGATCTACCTACCTTTGCCTCCTGAGTGCTGCGATTAAGGTTTGTGCCACCACTGCCTGGCATTAACATTATATTTTATTTATTTCTTGTGTGGCCATGGTGCATGGTGCATGGTGCATGGTGGATGGTGCATGGTGCATGGTGCATGGTGGAAGTTAGAGGAAGGACAGTCTTTAACAGTCATTTCTCTACTGCTGGCGCTTCCCACCGCCTCCTCCTTCCTCTCTGTGTGTGTGTGTGTGTGTGTGTGTGTGTGTGTGTGTGTGTGTGCTTCTCTGTGTAGTTCTGGCAGAACTTGCTCTGTAAACCAAACTGAAATCAGAGACCTGCCTGCCTCTGCTGAGAGAGCCTCCTGTTTCTTTCTTTTTAAGGATTTATTTATTTATTCTTTCTTTTTAAAGATTATGTACACGGGGTTCTAGCATGTCTGCCTACATTCCAGAAGAGGGCACCAGATCTCATTCTAGAAGGTTGTGAGCCACCATGTGGGTGCTGGGAATTGAACTCAGGACCTCGGGAAGAGCAGCCAGTGCTCTTTAACCCCTGAGCCATCTCTCCAGCCTCCTGTTTCTTAGGCAGAGCAGATACTAGAAGCTCACCTGGTCAGTGTGGGAAGGGAGGGCCCTTGTGTTTCAGCACTGTGAGGATGGGCCCACCACATCCTGCTTCAGAAGCTGCCATGGCCCCAGCCTGCAGCCTCACTCGGCACGCAGGAGAGCAGGGGGGGTTAGTAATGATCATTGCCGCCCTATGGTGTTCCGGTAGCCACTGACAGGCTGGTGGCTGGGTTCAGCTGCTGCCCTTGGAGAAATGGGGGCCACAGCCACCTGCTTGGCTCATGGGCTTCCGAAGGGGACAGGCTTCCCGGGGCTCTGGGGGCCATGGAGGAGAGACAACCCACAGTGTCCACCCCATCGGGTCATGAGTCTCTTCAGCGTCTCTGGTTTCCATCCTGTAAATTGAAAGTCCTCAGCCTGACCTCAGAAAAAGTGGTCAGCGAGAGGGCTCTGTGGGTAAAGTGCTTGCTGCTAACCCTGCTGACCCGAGTTCAAGTCCTGTGACCCACATGGTAGATGGAAAGAACTGCACTTTGCGCTTTGACCTACACACACACACACACACACACACACACACACACACACACACACACACAGTTTACAAAACAAATCAGTAAACTTACCATGTTTGTTTATTTGTTTATTTTTGGTTTTATTTTTTTGAGACAGGGTTTCCCTGGGACTTGCTCTGTAGACCAGGCTGGCCTTGAACTCACAGAGATCGGCCTGCCTCTGCCTCCCAAGTGCCGGGATTAAAAGTGTGCCACCACCTGGCTGTCTTTGATTTTTCGAGATGGTGTCTCATGTCCGGGCTTGCCTCAAACTGTCTGTATAGCTAAGGATGAACTTGAGCTATGGAGTCTCTCGCATGCACCTCCTAAATGCTGAGATTATCGATGTGCCGGGCCACACCTAGAAACCCTTTCCCCCACGTGTGGTCTTTGAAATCCAGGAAGTGTGTTCCTCTTAGAGTCCATCTCCCCGCATACTCACGGGAGTTCTAGGACACAGTGGTCTCACGTGGCTGATGCGTTAGGTACACAGGGCAGGGTGTGGCAGGAGGATTTCAAACAAATAGAAAACAAAACAACACAGGATTAATTATGCGGTTAAGACAGTAAGATGGGGCTGGAGAGATGGCTCAGTGGTTACAAGCACTGGCTGGTCTTCCAGAGGACCGGGGTTCATTTCCCGGCACCCACGTGGCAGCTCACAACTGTTTATAACTCCAGTTCTAGTGGATCCAGCACCCTCATGCATGTATGTGACACACACACACACACACACACACACACACACACACACACACACACACACACACAAAGACAGTAAGATAGATAGTAAGATGTTTCTTTTCTTCTGCTTTTTTTTTTTCCAGATAGGCTCTTACTATGTGGCCCTTAATGGCCTCAAACTCACAGAGTGTTAGGATTAACATGTGACCTTCAGTTGTTTTTTTTGGTTGTTATTTCTGAGACTCGGTCCTTGTTATGTAGTCCAGATGGCCTGGAATTTTTGATCTTCCTATTTCAGTTTAAATGGTAGGATTGCAGGTGTGTGCCATGGTGCCTGGTCTAAAACTTTCTCCCTGCCTGTAAAGCAGTGGTTCTCAACCTGTGGGTCATGACCCCTTGGGGCCGCATGTCAGATATTTACATTATGATTCATAACGGTAACAAAATTACAGTTATGGAGTAGCAATGGAATAATTTTATGGTTGGGGGTCACCGCAACATGAGGAACTGTATTCCAGGAAGGTTGAGAACCCCTGCCTTAATAGCCTAGTCTAGACTGGAACTGTACTCTACAGTGAGGATGACCTTCTCATTCTCCTCTCTCAGCCTCCTGAGTGCTGGGATTGGATGCACCACTACATCAGACCTTGTGTGGTACTGGAAGTGGAACCCAGGGCTTTGTGCACGCTGGGCAAACATTTTACCAACGGAGCTACCATGCTTTTGTTATTTGAGATGAGGTCTCATTCTGCAGCCCAGGGTGATCCTCCTGCCGCAGCCTCCTCCTGAGTGCTAGGATTACAGGTGTGTGTTATCACACCCACCCACCTCCCATGGGAGGTAGCCCCAAGACTTGGGTCATCTCTACAGCCCCATGTGTACTTTAGCTATAAAGGCCACCTGGTTGGGACTGGAGAGATGGCTCAGTGGTTAAGAGCACTGGCTGCTCTTCCAGAGGTCCTGAGTTCAATTCCCAGCACCCACATGGTGGCTCACAAACATCCATAATGGGTTCTGATGCTCTCTTCTGGCATAAGGTGTACATAAGGCAGATAGAGCACTCATAAATAAATAAATAAATAATTTTAAGGCCACCCGGCTGGGAGGTTGGGGCTGTGGTCACCATCCCTGTTCTCTGGAAATCCCAGGAGCCCCAAGACTTCCTTCAGTTGAAGCAGAATCCTCCTCAGATGGGGGAACCGAGGCCAGCTGCATCCCCAAAGGGGATGAGGCTCTGAACATTGCCTTTTTCCCTTCTGGGGCCAGAGACTTCCTCCTTTTCCCAAGTCTGACTTTTCTCCTCTGCTTGGGTGGCACTGGGTGGTGCCGAGGGTTTTCTGGGTGCACACCGGTGGAGGGAGCCCCAGCTAGAAGAGCCAGACTGTGACCAATGAGCACCCCAGAGGGACAAGACAGTCATTTCCTCCCAGCTGCCTGCATCTCTTCTTGAGGCTTTTAAAAGCACGACCCATTCGATACACGGGACCTTCAGGCGTCCGTCTTGGTCACTACGGACCCCGGGAGGAGCCAGGACATGGTGAGTGGGTTCCCTTCCCCCTCACTCTCCTTATCTGACTCTGCCTGCCCGTTTCCTTCCTCAATCTCTCTTCATCTGCCCTCTCCCACCTGCATTCCGAGCTCATACTCTGAGGACGGGATGTGGCCAAGGACTAAGAGGAGTTATGGGAACCGCAGCAGCCTCACAGGGCTGTAGGGCTGAGAAGGGTCTTCAGGACAGAAAACCCTGGCGCTGGCTCTCTTAAATGAAGTTCTCCATGTTGGGCGTGGTAGCTTACACCTGTAATCTGAGCCCTTAAGAGGCCTAGGCACGGTGCTGCAGTTCCGGGCCAGCCTGGGCTACATAGTGAGTTTCAGGCTAGCCTGGGCTACACCGTGAGCTATTGTGTTAAAAGACAAATGGGTTTGTGATACAGCTCAGGTGTGAGAGCGCTTGGTGGGAGTGCTGCAAGTCCTGTGGGTCCAGTTACCGGCATCCTGTAAGACTGGGTGTGGTGGTGTGGGGGGGAGGTAGAAGCAGAGGAGTTGGAGGTTCAATCTTACATAGTCATTTTGAGGTTAGCCTGGGCTACATGAGACCCTGTCTCAGAAAAGCAACAACAAAAATACAATTTTACAAACCACCCAGTGTGGTGGCATACGCTGGCTATGCCAGCTCTCAGGGGGGCAGGGGCAGGTGGATTTCTGAGTTCGAGGCCAGGTGGGTCTAAGAGTGAGTTCCAGGACAGCCAGGGCTACAGAATGAGACCCTCTCTCAAAACACACACACACACACACACACACAAACAAGCAAACCAAGTCCTGACAGCAGTTTGGCAGAGTGGTCGTTACTGGAGAAGTTAGAGGGGGCCTGGAACCCAGAGTCCACGTCCCTCTAAGCGGGTCCCGTTCGATGCCCGGGCCCTAAGGTGGTGGTGTGGGCTAGGAGAGTAACACACGACACGGCCTTGCTTCATCCGCACAAAAGAGGAAATGGAAAACTCGATGACCAGGCAAGTTGTGAGCTTTCTTCATCCCTGGGTCCATGTCATTTTCTGGTTCTGCCCTGAGCAATTGGGGTTTCCAGAACAGGGAGGGCCTACTGTTCTTTTTCCTTTCTACACAAGGTGTTTCCCAGCACCGAGTCCCTCTACTGACCCTCAACCTGTAGAGTTCCTGATTTGGGCTGGGGGCTGTTGCTCTGGATTCCTAAACCAGTGCTCTATGGCTAAGCTCACTGGGGGATTCTGGGAGAGGTTCTACCACTGAGCCACACCCCAGCCCCTCACTGGGGGATTCCAGGCAGGGGCTCTACCACTGAGCCACACCCCAGCCCCTCACTGGGGATTCTAGGCAGGGGCTCTACCACTGAGCCACACCCCCAGCCCCTCACTGGGGGATTCTAGGCAGGGGCTCTACCACTGAGCC